CTGGAGTGGGAGAGGTAATGTTGGGCCTGTTCCATGTGTTGAGTGCGAGGGGAGGCGTTGGCCTGTGCCACCTGATGGGGGGAATGATGGTCTTTGTTACCTAGTAGCTGGAGGGAGAGGAGAGTTGGTCTGTGCCACCTGCAGCCTGGGAGGGGGGAGGGAGTTGGGCTGTACCACCTGCTGGCTTGGGGGGGGGCCACTGGCCTGCACCATTTGATGTCTGAGGGAGTGATGGGCTGTGCCACCTACTGGGTGGGGGCATCATGGGCCTGTGCCACCTGCTGGCTGGGGGGGGAGGGGGGGAGGCGCACTCACTATGGGCTGGAGCAGGGGTTTTCAATGCTTTTTAAGAACTGTACCCTTCTGGTGGCAGCGGCCGGACAAGAAGCTTGCTTGCGGGGGGTGATGGGCGCCAGTGGCAATGCTGGGTGGTGGATGGCAGCGGTGGCTACCATGTGAGAGCTTCACCTCCCCCTGACAGCCTGCCGGGCAGTGCCGGTGCAGCCCACAGAGCAGAGGGGCACAGCTGCCCTTGCCCCCCAACCCTGCTCTTGAGAGGCGGTGGCACAGGGAGAGGGTAGCAGCGCTCTGCCCCCTGCCCACCCACGTGTACCCATTAGGACTGTTCCAAGTACCCCTGGGGGTATCTCCATGACGTTTTCTGCCCGGCAGGGGGGAAAGAGAGGGGAAAACGGTGGCACATACCATAGGCTGACTGCAGTGGGGGGGGAATGGGCATGTACCACTCACCCTCTGGGGTAGGGCAGGGGGCATGTACCATCTGCCCACTGGTACTTGCTGATGGCATGTACCATCTCCAACAGTGGGGGAGTGGCTTGTGCTACCTGCCAGGTGGGCATGGTAGTGGTACATACCATCTCTGCTGGTTAAAGGGGGGGCATATACCATGCGAGGGAGCATGTACTTCCTGGATCTGAGGGGTTTGTTGGGGATGGGCAGGTACCATCAATTAGTGGCTGAGGAGGGGGGCATGTTCCACCTGCTGGACATCCAGGGGGGCACCATGGCATGTACTACCTGCTAGCTGTGGGGTGGTACAAGGGCCCACACTTTGTACTAGATGCCAGGGGGCCCCAGTGGCACATGCCAAGTGCTAGATGCTGAGGGGGTTGGCAGGTGCCAGTGGGTGGGGTGTGGAAGGAGGCACAATGGCACATACCACATGGTGTCTTTCAGGGGGGCGGGGGCGGTGCAGCATCACTCGCCATCTACTGGCTGCAGGTCGGGGGCATGGGGTACGC